AGACGGTCGAGTTGTCTCCCACTACCCCCGCCCTACAAAACGCTCCGAGCATTTCACACCCTATCACCTGACTGGAAATTAGAAACTACTTGGCACTTTCAACGTTTGACAAGCGGGACAATATATCGCCGTTCAGATTTGTCTTAACCATTCCCAAGACGCATTTCAGCCTTTCAACCTAAAAGCACCATTGCTGTCTCTACACACTGCATGCAGTCAATGTCCTTCATGAATAGCTTACACTTCAATGACCAATCTGTCATGACTGAATCCTGCCCAAGCTGCCCAAAAGATATGCATTAGCCCTTAAGGAAACATCCAGAACCTGTCAACCGGTCGGACACAGACCTGTTATTGAACCAAACGTCAAATGAAACCAACAGATGATTTGCGATTCAACCACACCTCTTTTGTTAGCATCAGTACCTTTCAGGAGCGCGACCATGTGACAAACAGAGAATGCAGCCAGGAAATAAAGTCAATAGAAATGGAAAGTTGGATTACTTCCTTTTAGAGCCAAATTGCCGTACAAAGCTACAAGTTAAATAATTATTGGCGCCGAACTCGCGCAAATTTAGTCGATTGTCTTACATAAACTGAACTTCGACAAATTGCATGAGTTCCCTACAAACCCACATTTGGGTGGTTTGAAAGAAGACGTTTCGTAGATTCCACACATTGAATTCCTTTACAAGTTTGCTAATTTCAAGACTAGGGGTTCAGGCATCACACAGCTTCATCGGACTTTGTGCATTTAACCTTGTTTCAAGTTCGTGGCATCGGAATATTTGCAAATGAAGGGTATCAGGAAAACAATGTGAGGGTACACTTAGGAATGAGAAATGACGGTACCTAATGTAATCAAAGTAGAATTTAATTTAATGCCATATTACCTTTAGGATAGTTCAAACCCTAACTAAAAGTTCTAAAAATGTAGCTACCGTCAGTTCATAGATATTCCACACCTAACTTCGTTGTTCCAACTTCAACTGAACGGTCTGCGACAATATTTAAGGTGGTGGATAATTAAATATGACGGCGTTAAAGACGAGTAAAATCTTTAGGCATTGCATAGATACGACACCAACAGTAAACGCGTTCGCGAACTGAAAATGGGAGCTACCAAAGTGCATTAATGGGACTTAATCTAACAACAACGCTGTTGTTCATTCAATAGATAACTGAAGCGACGTGCGAGGGTTACAATGGCAACAAATGCTAACCTTGTAGGAGAAGCAGAGGATAGCCAGATCCACAAGTTTGCAGAAGAACTGAGGCTGTAGTGTGCGAATGGCCTCTTTCACACAGTTATCAGAGAGCGCATGAATGACGTGCAGGCGACAGGCCAGGCGCAACGACTCGATGCGCTCGCATGTAACCGCCTCCCCAAAATTTGCACGCGCAGACTTGAGTAGCTGTTCTACCGTAACTGCCTTGGAATGGGACACCATACCTACTGATAAGGGGCGCAATGATATCTCCGTTCTGGCCACCGCACCCATTTTTGTATCCGATGGTGTGGCTGAGGGCAAAGGCAGCACTTCCGGGATGAGATGGTGGAAGAAGCGGGAGAGATGTAACAGAGTACCGCTAACCTTCTCTCTTTCTGAGGAGGCACTGAAGATTGGCTGATGCAGACGTAGCAATTCGAGGGCTAGTTGAAATATCACCTATGAAGTGGGTGGCGTGGAAATCCATTCATTCGAAGCTCCGAACGATTAACTAATTTTTAAACTATTAGCAAGCGTTTTGAATGCCGACACAAACATCAATGCCGCCCATCCAGTGTCAAAATTTGAGGTTGGAATGGATCCCAAATCAAGCAGTGCATGCTCAACAATACAACAGTTTGATCAACAAAGCAAACAAATTTTGCACTATATAAGATTTCTTTTTCGAAGAAAAAGAACCCTGAAAACCCTGATGAAATATGAACTTTAAAAACACTATAACGTGTGAATGAATACCTGTCCAAACGGCGGATACCTCACACCAAAAAAGGTTCCCAATTTCTCAAGTGTTCGCCATTTGGAGGAGGACAGGTGAAAACCTACCATCTAAACAGTACTATAATAAAGCTTCAATTCTTTCGGTAATATGGAAGAAAGTGACTTTGTCTCTGGAATCAGATCGAATAGAGCTTTCCGAGATGTAGGATGACATTTCGAAAGTTCTTGCAAAAAGCGTACCATTATCCACTCTGAGTTATACTTTCATTTTAAAGGAATTATTCGACTTTTAGGTATGGCAAATGAATGGTTGGGTATGCGTACACCTATGTACATATGTGGAGGGAGGGAGAAAATGGAGGAGGATTCGGTGACAGCTGGAGGCCTGTCGGTTACCACCTAACCACTGCCATATGGATTGCAAAAAAGATCAAGATGAGA